GCATTAAGTAAATTCATGTCACTGTGCAATCATCACCACTGTCCATCTCAAGAATTTTTTCTTTAAAAAAAAGTTTTGGGGGGCACCTGGGTGGCGCAGTTGGTTAAGCATCTGACTCTTGGTTTTGGCTCAGGTCATGATTTCAGGGTCGTGAGATAGAGCCCCATGTTGGGCTCCATGCTCAGAGTGGAGTCTGCTTTAGATTCTCTCTCCCTGTCCCTCTGCTCCTCCTACTCATGCTCTCACTCTCTCTCTGAAATAAATAAATAAACCTTTAAAAATAAGTTTTTCTCTATCCCAAACTGAAATTCTGTACCCTTTAAACAATAACTCCCTATTGCTTCCTCCCCTCAGCCCATGGTAATCTATATTACACTTTGTCTCCACGAACTTCACTACTCTGCATGTTTCGTATAAATGAAATCATACTATATTTATACCTTTGTGTATGGGTTATTTCACTTAGCATGTTTTCAAGATTCATCCATGTTGTAGCATGTGTCAGAATTTCACCCCTTTCTTAATATTCCATTATAATGGAATATAATGGAATGCTTTATCAATTTCATTGTTTATCTCTTCATCCATCAATGGACATTTCGATTGTTTCCACCTTTTGGCTACTGTGAATAATGGTGCTGTGAACATTGGTGTTCAAATATCTATTTGAGATCCTGCTTTCAATTCTTTTGGGCATATAGGCATATACCTAGAAGTGGAATTTCTGGATCATATGGGAATTCTATGCTTAATTTTTATTAAGAACTACCGTACTGTCTTGAAGCCTTAGAATTTTACATCAGGACATTTGATTTAAAAAAAATCCTCCATGCAGAATGCTGAGGTGAATCTCAACTACTGACTAGACCGACAGGACCCGGTATATCTCCTTGGTTTGGGGGCTCTGATTCAGGCACAAAGTTAAGGGAGCTTGAGTCATCGGACAAGGAAGCGGCTGTTCCTCCCTTACTGTGGACCCTTGCCAACAAGTGGCCGCCATGTCTGGGTATTCCGGCTGAAAGGGAATTCTTTTGAAAGTATGTGCTTAGATGGAGGGTTATCTTTCTTAGTAAAATAAAGCTCAAACAGCTTTCTTTCTGGACTCTGAATGGAACAAGGCCTAATCGCTGATCATTTGATTGTTCAAATTACAGACACACAGAGCCACCTTGCAACTGCAGATATTAAATACTCCCATTTATGAACCCATTGTCATATTTTCATATCATAATAATGCTAAAAGATGTAGCTGATGCTAGGCTTCTTTTTTAAAAAAATATTTTATTTATTTCTCAGAGAGAGGGGGAGAGAGAGAGCACACAAGCAGGGGGAGTGGCAGGCAGAGGGAGAGGCAGGCTCCCTGCTGAGCAAGGAGCCCGATGCGGGACTTGATCCCAGGACCCTGACCCGAGCTGAAGGCAGATGCTTAACTGACTGAGCCACCCAGGCGCCCCAGATGCTAGGCCTCTTTACCTGTGGTTACCTGTGGGGCCAGACCAAGTAAGAACCACGGGGGGAAAAAATAGAAGCAGTGTTTGGCAGGGTGGATGTTAGTCAACTGATGATTACCTAATAATAGATTTCACTGTACCTGTAATTCCTTCTGCATTAATGGATATTAATGACATCCTACGAATGTGCTTTGGCAATAATCATTGTGTGTCTGTGTTCAATTCAGCAAATATTCATTGCATGTCTGCTCTGTCCTACTATTAGTAGAGGAACGAAAAACTAAAAGGCACACCAATGATTGGCCATATACTCCATCCCAGACTTTCTTCCCCATTTATAGAACTATGAAGCTGGGAAGAGGAACATAGGATTTATCTGGTCCTATATCTCCCTTTCTCAACTCCACTTCCTCAGTGTATTATGGATGAGAAAACTAAGGCCTTCAAAGATGGAGTTGTTATGAACACAGAGATCTGGGTTCGAATCCCTATATGTGAGTGCATATCTTTGGGTAATTTACTTAAGCTTTCTTAATTTCAATTTATTTATCTGTAAAGATGAGCTTCAGACACTCCCTTTGTTCTGAAATATTCTCTCTTCACTTATATGATACCATACCTTTTGGATTTTCTTTCTTTTTCCTGATTAGTCGTTGCTTCCCTTCATAGTCCCTCTTCCTCTGCTTATCTCATAAATACTGGAATTCTTGGAACTCTGCCTTGGGCCCTCTTCTCTTATTACTCTATACTTTTTTCTTGAGCAATTTCATCCATCCCCATCTATAGGCTGGTGACCCCTCTTTTCTTATTACTCTATACTCTTTTTTTTTTAAAAAGATTTTATTTATTTATTAATGAGAGACAGAGAGAGAGAGAGAGAGAGGCAGAGGGAGAAGCAGACTCCCAAGGAGCAGGGAGCCCGATGTGGGACTTGATCCCAGGACCCTGGGATCATGACCTGAGCCGATGGCAGACACTTAACCATCTGAGCCACCAGGCACCCTCTCTAAACTCTTTCCTTGAGCAATTTCATCCATCCCCATCTATAGGCTGGTGACCCCTAAATATGTATCTTCTGCCCTGAAATTTCTTCTGAGCTCCAAACCAATACACCCATTTGTCTGCTGATATCCCTCCAGGGATCCCATACACACTTTAAACTCCACAAGACCAAAACTGAGCTGAGGATGTTCCCCCATGCCTGCTCCTTCTCCAGTATTTGCGATCATAAGTTTTCCAAGTCAGAAACTGACAGATCTTTTCTATTCAACAAATTTTCAAGTCCTGGTGCTCTTACCCCCCTGACTGTAGCTGGTATCCATCTACATCTCTATCCCAACCACCACATTACTGCCACCATCCTTATTCGGATTCTCATCATTTCTTACCTAGACAAATACTACTGTCTCCTAAATGATCTTCTGCTTCAAATAGCCCTCTCCTCCAATCCATTTTTCACACTCCACTCAGAGTGATCACTCAAATGTATCTGATCTATCATTCAAACACATCTTAGAGGAACACCTCTATTTAAAACCTTCCAATGGCCTCTAGTTGCCCTTAGACAAAATGTAAACCTCTAAACCTATGTAGCAGGGTAGAACATTTATTATCCTAATAGCTAGAGCTGGAATTTTTCTTAGTAGAGAGAAAGTGGTTTTCGTTAAGAAAAATACTTCAAGACTACTGGGGATGGGCTGAGAGAAGATCTAATGAATGACATGACATGCCAGAAGTCAAGGTAACAAAGTAATTGTCAGTCAAAATAAATAGAAATATGAAGCTGGTGAAAGTTCTGCCGGTGATGTGGCTGAGGACTTTGGGGAATCAGAATTCTAGTATTTACTTTAACTTTTACAGTACAATGTTATAACCCTCTCATACACTCTGTAAAATCTGCTACTAATTACATCTAATCTGCTACAAATTACCTGGGTCTGTCAGTGATAGTGATAGTGTGAACGCATATGTGTGTGTGTGTGTGTGTATGTGTGTGTGTGTGTGTGTGTGTGTAAAGGAAAGGAAAGGGCTGGTCCCATGTCTTGGTCAACATTGTGTAGGAATAGGACCAGTACTCACTCATGGCAGTGATAATCCTTTAACTGAATTAAGCAGAAATTCATAGTTAGTAATATAAACCTACTAGAAATTTGATGAAATCCTGGAGAAGGCTTTGGATTTTCTAAACTCCTGTGGAATGGGGTTTTAGATCTGGCTTATCTAGATCTTTGTCCAGCTGACAGTGAGTTACACTAGATTCCATTATCTTCATTATCTCTCCACTGCCTTTTTCCCCTCCGGATTTGTCTCCCATTCCTCTTAGTCCTGGACTTTATATTCTAGGTGTGCTTAAGTGCTTCCATTTACTCAAACTTGATATATATAATCTCTAATCTCCTTGTCTTTGCAAATGGAGCATTGCTCTTCCCATTTTTAACTGGATTAACTCTCTTTTTCCTTCAGATTGCAGAGAATTGTTAGGGCAGTGAAACTATTCTGAATCATTCTGTAATGGTGGATATATGTCGTAATCTATTTGTCGAAACTCATAAAATATGACATGATGGAAAACATGGACTTTAGTTAACAATAATGTATCAATCTAGGTTCATCAATTATAACAAATGTACCTCACTGATGCAAGATGTTCACAATAGAGGAAACTGAAAGTGGAGTGGCAGTGAGGGCAGAAAGAAATTTATGGAGACTCTTGTACCTTCTGTTCAATTTTTCTGTAAACTTAAAATGGCTTTAAGAAATAAAATCTATTAATTTTCTTTTCTTTCTTTCTTTCTTTCTTTATTATTTTTTTTAAAGATTTTATTTATTTATTCATGAGAGACAGAGGAGGAGAGAGAGAGGGAGAGAGAGAGAGAGAGAAGCAGAGGGAGAAGCAGGCCCCCAAGGAGCAGGGAGCCCAATGTGGGACTCGATCCCAGGACCCCGGGATCATGACCTGAGCCGAAGGCAGACGCCCAACCATCTGAACCACCCAGGCGCCCCTTCTTTTTTTTTTTTTTAAGATTATTTATTTGAGGGGCACCTGAGCGGCTCACTCAGTCAAGTGCCTGCCTTCAGCTCAGGTCCTGATCCCAGGGTCTTAGAATGGAGTCCCGCATTGGGCTCCCTCCTCAGAAGGGAGCCTGCTTCTCCCTCTCCCTCTGCCTCTACCCCCCACTCTTGTTTTCTCTCTCTCTCAAATAAATAAAATAAATAAAATTTATTTATTTATAAAAATAAATAAAAGATTATTTATTTGAGAGAGAGAGCATGCATGTGCCCCTGGGGGGGGTGGGGTGGGCAGGGGCAGAGGGAGAGAGAGAGACAGTCTTAAGCAGAATCCATGCTCAGTGTGGAGCCCAACCGTGGGCTTGATCTCACGATCCTGAGATCATGACCTAGGATGACGCTTAACTGATTGTGCCATCAAGGTGCCACTATTAATTTTCTTAAATAGTTATAAAACAAAAACAAAAACAAAAACAAAACAAAACCCACAAAAAAAGCACATGCAAGATCCAGCACAAGAAAACAGAGAAGCCAACATACTTGGGAGCTTTTATTTTAAGCTCTTTCCACTTTAAGGTCCTGAGGTTGATGGTGATGACCTGGAAGATATTAAGGGGCACATGGTGCCAAAGTTTCTCCGCACTCTTGCCCACTCTGTGAAGACAGAAAACAACTTTTTATCCAAAAATTCAGGGGTAAGTATTTCAAACCAAAAGCTGCCAGTGTCTGGGGCACTCATTTAGAGGGGGAGAGCCAAGTAGGTGGCGGAAGTCAGGTGGTTGAGAATTAAATATGTGGGCTTGAACCTGCATCCATTGAAGTATATGAAGATGTAATGATAATGGAATGAGACAGTCCCTAAGATTTTAACTGTAGTCTATGATAAGGAGATGATGAGATGAGAAGAGATTGTCATATCCCCGAAGGCCATTCTGCCACTTCCCAGTGATTGATATTCATCTTTAGAGCCAGAGGATTCTGCAAGGGCCTGTGGTAACCAAAACCCACTCTTCTCTTAAATTTTTTTCTCATTTAGAAATACTTTTAGAATACACTTGGCTTTAATAATTGATTTTGTAAATTGCATACATATATATCATCCCTCATACAGCACCTAAATTGAACTATTTTTTTTTAAAGATTTTATTTATTTGTCAGACAGAGAGAGAGGGGGCACAAGCAGGGGGAGCTGCAGGCAGAGGGAGAAGTGGACTCCCTGCTCCCAGGACCCTGGGATCATGACCTGGGCCAAAGGCAGACCCTTAACCGACTGAGCCACCCAGGAGTCCCGAAAAAAATTGAACTATTTTTAATACTTTATTAATAACTGATTAACTCAACTCTCAAAAAAAAAAAAAGCCCCACTCACCTGTGAATAAAAGATACACATCAAACATGTTAGAATGATTACCTATTGACAGAAAGGAGAATGGGAGTAGGGGATGGGAATAAAAGGTCTAAATAAATAAAACCAGAGATTACCTTGCTCAGGCCAATGATAATGGTGTGTCCAGAACAAAGGATGATTCCCTTAACCCTCTACAATAGCTTTAAAAAATTATCAGTAATTCTTATTTGGGAAGTAGAGTGGCAATTGGATTCTCTCAGGTATGTTTGGGTGGATCAAAGACTGAAGAGGAATAAATTAGATGGGCTTTCCAACTTAACTTGATGAAAGTGGTTTGATGTAGTGGAAAGAAGGCCAGATTGGAAGTCAGAAGTGAGTTCTGCTTAGGCTACTTCAACAGTACAGGCAAGAGATGAAAGCCTGGTGTGATACTGGGTTGGGTACAAGAGATGCTTTGGAGGTAGAATCATTAAAATAGGAGGTATTTTTAGTTGTGAGGGGTGAAGAAGAGGAAGATATCAAGAATGACTATACAATTTCTGCTTTGGATGACAAGGAAGGTAGGGAACACAGGCAGAGAGAGAGGTTTGGGAGCTGGATAAGATGAATTCAGTTGGGTGTATTGAAGCTGAAGTGGGTAGAGGTCAGGAAAATCCAACTTCAGAAGCTGCTGACTAGGAGTAGTGTGATCGACCAAGGGCCCCAGGTCTTGGGGTCCTCTGACATCCTTTATGTCAATCAGGCCCAGGCCACACCTCCCATGGGTTGCTTCCAGGCAGCGACTGGGCATGGCAGGAATATTGAACACTTAGATTTACAATCTTCCTCCTCTGATCAGCAATTTTGGTTTGAGGACTCTCCATCAGCCTTACCGAAATCCCTTAGAATTGCGCAGCAGTCTATGGCTCTTCCCTGAACCTCCCTTACTTCCTTCTCCCCTCAGAAAGGGGTGGATAGTCTGCCCCCTTCCCAGTCTCACTGGCTTTTTCTCTATTTTTCCCTCATTAATATTTCCCCCGATTCATCTCTTGCTCCTCTAATCCTGTTGTGGCCTCTGCTTCTCAGACAACCCATATGAACACAAAGTGTTGTTGGGACATCCACTTGGAGGCACCTAGCTGACATATACAAATATAGGTTGAGAGCTTTAGAAAGGTTATATCAATTAGAGTGCAAGTAATAGAAAAAGCAGCCCAAATTGGCTTAAATGATAAGACAAGTCCATCAGTAGGGTGGTTTCTGGGCATGGGGTGGTCAGGGCTCTGGCTCCATTTCTCCAAGAACTCTTTTGGTTCTTTCCAACTGTGTGTAAACTTTGTCCTCAGGTGGTTGTATCAAAAGCCTGCTCTTTTTTCCAGCCTCAGCTCAAATATCCTATTCTTTGTGAAGGCTTACTCACTCAATCAAGTTAGAAGCCATTTCTGTTTCTTTCATACTTGGACGTCTTAGTTCAAGTTGCTATAACAAAAATACTATAGGCTGGGTGGTTTAAACAACAAACATTTATTTTTCACTAATCAACTCCCATCTCTTGTTATAATGGCACCAATCTCATTCATGAGGGCTCTGCCCTGGTAATCTAAGTACCTCCCAAAGACTCCAAATGTCATCACATCTCCAAATACCATCACATTGGGGAATAAGATTTCAACATATGAATTTGGGGGGAAAATATTTAGTCCAACACTTGAATCTATTTGGCATTGTTTTATTCTACTTGTCAAGGCTATTTATATAGCTGCTTCCTCTAGACTAGAAGGGAAATCAATGATCATACTATATTAACTTTTATCTCTATTAATACTTTGCATACAGTTGGTATTTAGTGAGTATTTATCCAATTAAATTCACTGTCATTTCTTTACATAGAGAAATAGAAATAGAATCTGTGCTTATATTTATTTAACATTTCAAATTAATTTAGAAAATGTAGTACATAGAAAAGATTTGAGGTTCACACATGGCATTTAGTCTCATTAGATAGTACAACACTACACCTATGTTGATAAACTTCAGGAAGATATAATGAGGATGTAGTTAGATGGGTTAAGTATAAGTCTTGAAATGTGGGAATGATGTATAGAGCTAATAAATTGGGGAACGATGCATATAGCTAATGATTTCCAAGCTATGGTTTCAAACATAGGGACAGAATTTAGGAGTCCATCTGGATTGTTTCCTGAAGATTTTGACCAAATATGTTGCCTCAGCAAAAAACAGACTAAGAAAAATAAAAAGAAATGAAATCATAAATACAGTGGAGCAAAAAGGTAACATTCCTCATTCTCAAAATTAGAAACAAAACAGAAAATGTTGTTCTACCTGTGTATAAACTCCTGTCTGTTTGAATCTTGAATGGTGAATCTCAAATAAAGTAGAAAAGATTGTAAAGGCTGTAAGACAATTAAGAGAATAAAAGAATTGTTGGGTGAAGACAGATTGACAATAAAGATCTCCTGTAGAGGGGGGCCTGGGTGGCTCAGTCGTTAAGCGTCTGCCTTCTGCTTAGGTCATGATCCCAGTGCCCTGGGATCGAACCCCGCATGGGGCTCCCTGCTCCGCGGGAAGCCTGCTTCTCCCTCTCCCCCTCCCCCTGCTTATGTTCTCTCTCTCGCTGTATCTCTCTCTGTCAAATAAATAAATAAAATCTTAAAAAAAAATCTCATGTAGAAATATAATCTGAGAGAAAATATATTCAAACAAAAGTCACTGTTTAAGATGAAAGTGGAGAATTTCTATCAAACTCAAAAATTCAAAAATTTGGCATACTTCAGTATTTGACAAAGCAATTTTATTCTTATTCTTATTCTTTTTCTTTTTTAAAAAATATTTATTTATTTGACAGAAAGAGAGAGCACAAGAAGGGGGAGCGGCAGATAAAGGGAGAGGAGGGCAGGCTCCCTGCTGAGCCAGAGCCCAACTCCGGGCTCGATTCCAGGACCCTGAGATCATGACCTGAGCCGAAGGCAGATGCTCAACTGACTGAGCCACCCAGGCGCCCCTGTTATTATTTTTAAAAAGATTTATTTATCTGAGAGTGAAGGAAAACAAGTTAAGGAGGGGCAGAGGGGGGAGAGAATCTCAGGCAGACTGCCCCCCTGAGCCCACCCAGCTGCCCCTGACAAGGTAATTTTAAAACAAGTAAGAAGAATGGGGCACCTGGGTAGCTCAGTTGGTTGAACATCTGACTCTTAATTTTGGCTCAGGTCATGATATCAGGGTCCTGAGATCAAGCCCTGAGCTGGGCCCAGGCTCTGTGCAGAGTCTGCTTAGGATTCTCTCTCTCCCTCTCCCTCTGCCCCTCCTCCTGCTCACACTCTCTTTCCATTTCCCTCTAAAATAAATGAATAAAATCTTAAAAAAAAAAAAGGTAAGAAGAAACAACTTTTTCCAACAGGCAGTTATTAAACTCAACCCTCCAAGACGTGATACAGACTAAGAGTTATATTAAACTCAGGGCTATTCAATTCATACCAAGTTTAAAACTTGGGCTGGTTTAGTAATACAGAGAAGTGTTTTGAGGTTGAGGTTAGGGGGAACCATCATGCCCTTCTGCCAAACACCTTTTATGCCATGAATGGCCCTGTTGATTAAGATGAGAATTTTTCAGTGATTGGTAGCTACATGCTCCTCTTGGTGGACTGTAAATGGATGCAAAATTATGAGTTCTTTGGCTTTCAGTTTTATATGTGTCTAAGGAACTATTTACACGTGACCTACTGCTATGTACTGAATTGTGTCCCCACCTTCAAATTCATATGTTAAAACCTAATCCCCACTGTGACTCTATTTGGAGATAGAGCCATTAGGGAAGTAATTAAGGTTAAATGAGGTCATAAGGGTAGGACCCTAATCCAATAGGACTAGTGTCCTTATAAGAAGAGGAAGAGATATGAGACTATCATGTGAGGACACATTTAGAAGGCACTGTCTACAAGCTGAGGAGAGGGACCTCACCAGAAACTAATCCTGTTGGCAGCTTGCTCTTGGACTTCCAGTTTCCAGAACTGTGAGAAAATAATTTTCGGGGTTTTTAAGCCACCCAGTCTGTGGTATTTTGTTATGGCAGTCTGAGCAGACTAATATACCCACTAATGAATCACTAAAATTAAGTGAAGTAATAAAATTTGGAGTCCATAAACAAAAAACTAGGGTATTACCAAGGATATAGATATATCTATATATAGATCTATATATACACATACACACACGTATATAAATATATATGGTGAACATATATTGACTGCTCAGTATGTGCTAGGCACTGTATTTTACATATAAATACTTCTTTAATCTTTACAATTACAAAAGTTTGGTGCTGTTATTATTATTATTATTTTTTTAAAGATTTTTTTTATTTATTTGAGAGAGAGAGAGAGAATGAGAGATAGAGAGCACGAGAGGGAAGAGGGACAGAGGGAGAAGCAGACTCCCTGCTGAGCAGGGAGCCCGATGTGGGACTCCATCCCGGGACTCCAGGATCATGACCTGAGCCGAAGGCAGTCGCTTAACCAACTGAGCCACCCAGGCACCCCTGCTGTTATTAACTCCATTTTACAGATGATGAAACTGAGACCCCCCCCCAAAATGAGTATTTTGCCTAATGTCACAGAACTCAAAACTGGGTTTCAAGCTGACACCAGACTGTGCTTCTAATCATTGAATATAGTATAAAACAGCATTGTTCAATAGAAATATGATGTGACATGTATATAATTTAAATTTTTCTAGGAGCCATATTTTATTTTTTAATTTTTTATTTCAAGTTTTTATTTAAATTCCAGTTAGTTAATATACAGTGTAATATTAGTTTCAGGTGTACAAAATAGTGATTCAACACTTCCATACATCACCCAGTGCTCCTCATGACAGTTGTAGTCCTTAATCCCCAAAACCTGTTTCACGCATCCTCCCACCCACCTACATTCTAGTAACCATCAGTTTATTCTCTATTCTTAATAGTCTGTTTCTTGGTTTGCTGCTCTCTTTTTTCCCCTTTGCTCATTTGTTCTGTTTCTTAAATTCCACATATAAGTGAAATCATATGGTATTTGTCTTTCTCTGACTGACTTAATTTCACTTAGTATGATACTCTCTAGCTCCATCCATGTCATTGCAAATGGCAAGATTTCATTCATTTCTATGGCTAATAGTCCTATATATATATATATATATATATATATATATATATATAGTCCTATATATATAAATATATATAAATATATATATATATATAGTCCTATATATATATATACACACACACACACACACACACACCACATCTTCTTTATCCAGCCATCTACCGATGGACACTTGGGCTACTTCCTTATCTTGGTTATTGTAGATAATGCTGCTATAAACACAGGGGTGCATGTATCCATTTGAATTAGTATTATTTGTATTCTTGGGGTAAATACACAGTGTGATGGCTGGATCATAGGCGAATTCTATTTTTAACTTTTTGGGGGAGCTTCCATACTGTTTTCCAGAGTGGCTGCACCAGCTTTCATTCCTACCAACAGTGCGAGACGGTTCCCCTTTCGCTCTATATTCTTGCTGACACCTGTTGTGTCTTGTGTTGTTGATTTTAGCCATTCTGACAGGTGTGAGGTGATACCTCATTGCAGTTTTGATTTGTATTTCCTTGATGATGAGTGAAGTTGAGCATCTTTTCATGTGTCTGTTGGCCGTCAATTCATGTCTTCTGCCCATTTTTAATTGGATTATTTGTTTTTTGGGTGTTGAGTTTTATAGTTCTTTATATATTCTTGGATACTAACCTTTTATCAGATACGTCACTTGCAAATTTCTTCTAGGAGCCACATTTTATTTATTTTTAAAAAGATTTTATTTATTTATTTGACAGAGATTGAAAGCACAAGCAAGGGGAGCAGCAGGGAGAAGTGTAGGGAGAGGGGAAGGGAGAAGGGAGCAGGGAGCCTGATGTGGGGCTTGACCCCAGGACCCCCTGAGCCGAAGGTAGACGCTTAACTGACTGAGCCACACAGGTGCCCCAAACTCCTACTTTTTATATGCATACATAGTTGGTATCTTCCAATTTTTCAGAGGATGTTTTATTATTACAGTACATCACTAGTGTTGTCTTGAGTTACTGTGGTTTTAAAGTGCTCCTATTGGTGTGTTAATGAAGATATCTATAGAATTGCTATTATTTTTTTCTTGTAAAGTTATGTGTGGTTGACATTTTGTTATTATCAAGTTCTTTTTCCCTAGAAAGTGAGAACAGGTAGACTAAGAGGACTTCCTGGCCTTTTCTCCACCTAAATAGGTTATATAGTTAGAAAAAAAGAAAAAGAAAACCACAGAGGTAGAGGAATCATTGGCCTGACCTAGACTAACACTGTGAATGGGGGTTTTTTTTTGTAACAAGTAAGATACAATTGTAAAACAGTTAGGGGAGCTTCTGTGACCATGAAATAGGGTGATGCTAACCAGTTTGCATAAATCCATTATGTTGAATGCAGAACTGGTGGCTCTCTTATGACCTTACTATATGGGTGTGGTTTGGAAGTGTTTCTGAGGTGTTTTTTTTTTTTTTTCCTTCTCTCATTAGCCTAACTCCAGTGTTACAGAGAAGTGGTTATTTTTAAACCAAGTTAAAAAGAGCTTTATCATGTTATCATGGCTACATCACTTCAAGACAGAAAAAAAAATGATTTCAGATGATCTCCTTCTGTTTCACTATATACACATTTATTGTCTCTAGATTCCAAGGATAAGTGGATAAATGTGATGGTTCACATTTGCTTTAGCTTTACCAAATGATCTGAGCTGAAGCAATCTTTTAAAATGGCTATGATGTACTCAGTGTTTTCAAAAGCAGAGCACTGTAACCATTTAGATCCTTCATCATTATTACAATGCGTCCAGTGGCTCTTCTTGTAGAATTAATGCATGGAGCTTCCATTAAGTGTTCTCTGAATCCACTCAGAGATAGGCCAATCTATTGTCCTCCCGACTAAGTATTCATATATAAGATTTGAAAAATATTCAGAAACATTGCTAATCAGAGAGGGAAAAAAAACCCACACACATCAGCTTTGATAAGAAAGAGGTGTTCTTTAGAGGGTCCTTAGGAGTTTCAGGGGGGTTCCCAAGGGACGGTGGAATAAACAGACTATCAGAAAAAACAGCTAGGAGTTTGGGATTCTAATAGCAGTCCTCCAAAACCCACAAATGGTTGTCAGTTTAAGTAGGAAGGGAAAAATAAAGGGGGGGATTCGGAGGGTGAGACGAACCATGAGAGACGATGGACTCTGAGAAATAAACTGAGGGTTCTAGCGGGGAGGGGGATGGGGGGATGGGTTAGCCTGGTGATGGGTATTAAAGAGGGCACGTTCTGCATGGAGCACTGGGTGTTATATGCAAACAA